ATCTTTACTTTCAGGTGACCAAAAGGATCGTGATATGTTGATCTGAGGTACTGGGATCATCCTGGGTACTAGGGAGACTATATGGCAAAAATTTATAGTTCAACAGTACATAATCCAAGTGAAATAAAAGTGACAGTTAAGGTTCACTTCCACAATTGGATCAAAAACAAACAAGTTCACAATCACAGAGAAATCATATGGTAGAAATATACCAACCAATTTCACAAATTCAAGAAAAATGGTATGATCAGCACTTACTTCATTTACTTTAGCAGAAATATAAGCAGTAATCAAAGGGATCAATAACAAGTCCACCACTGGTCTCTCAAATATCTCATACCTTACCTTCAAACATCTAAGTAAAGAGACTCTCGACACTATTAACAGACTCTCAGCAATATTCTAATGTATAAAGAAATACCCAAAGAATGTAAAGAAGGCACAATATATCCTATATCAAAACCTAAAGACTGGCAATATAACATCAATATAACTCATCCAATTACTCTACTTGAATCCATCAAAAAAATTTTCATTAAATCAATCAACAACAGACTAGCCAAAATTATGATCAACCATTCCATCCTATCTGAGAACAACTGGGCTACACTTTTCAAAAATATTACTTGAGAATCAATCACCATCATTAATCAAATTCTCAAAGATGCAAGGGAACAGAAAAAACAGTATCACATGTTCTTCCAGAACATGAATAAAGCATTTAATACAGTAAACCTATAAAGACTTACTATATCCTTCCAAAGAATCAAAGTCCCATCTAAGCTTATCATCATTATCAACAACTGCTTCACCAAACATTCTAACAAAGTGATAATATACTTCGGACTAACAGATCCATATCTAGTCAAAAAAGGGATCGACCAAGGAGACACAATCTCACCAATACTCTGGTGCATATACTATAACCTTTCATAATAGCAATTAGCTTCTTGAAAGGTTACTAACTTAACAGTCACTGATCCAACCTAGACAATGGCAGTTCTATCAAACTCAACATATCAGTAGTTGCATACATGGATGACACAACATTTATAGCACAAAGCAAAAAACAACTCGAAGACATCATAGAAGTTAGTATATCCTTCTATCATCTCAATCACATCATAGTCAACTCATTTAAATCTGAATTCCTAATTATAAATAGTCCTCATGAAAGTATTCTTTTTCAGGAACATAAGATCAACCCACTCTCAAATATACAAGCAACATGCATCCTAGTAATCTGGTATGAAGAAAAGCCTGGAAAGTAATACTAGCACAATCTGATCAAAAGAAAAGTAACCAACATATGTAATATCATAAACAAAAAACAGATCACTGATAAAATTTATAACTATATCACCAACCACATTCTCTATAAATTAATCAAATATCTATTAACAGATTTAGTACACATAAAAAATAAAATCAAGTGGATAAATCAAAAAATCTAAAACTGCTTCTGTCGATACATTTAACTTGCAACTACTGTCCCAATATCTATTATTCATTTCAACAATTAGTACAACATTATGGAAATGGAAACACAACAACTCCTAAAACATAGTAGTGGCCTCCAAAATCTCTACTTTAGTTACAATCTTGCAGGCCAGATCACATGACTCTGCCTTTAACAATTATAATGGATGGCATAGTAGAAAGAAGATATTCTCACCAAATGCTTCAAGATATTCACAATAAGAACTAACTTCTTCCAGAATATTCTTTACAGTATACAATATCAAAACATTTTACTTCAAGAATGCACAATTGGAAACAACAAAATTGACCTTACACACATTGAAAATATTATAACAGTAGATAGTATGACAACAACAGAAAAGAACTCCAAACACACAGAATCATGTGGGTCAAACAAATTCTCAACATATACTGTACAAAAGCCCTTAACTGGTATCAAGTAGGAGTATTACACAACAAAACAAACAAAAGAAAACAATCAATATTCATTACAACTCTCAAGACAGAAGTACAAATACTTATTGATAAACATCTCATTTTTAATAAGCTTAATCTGAAGGTACAGCTAATGAACAATGACAGGAGCAAGGACAACAAGAAAACATAAATCAATAAGTTAGAACAATCCTGGTACATAATCTAATATAGTCAAGACCTTATCTTAGGTAAGCAGATCAGCAAAGACAGGGACTACATAAAACTTCACTACTATACAACTTCAGATACCTTGCCAGTTGACAAGTATCTAGGCTGTAAACTCAATGAATATATCAATAATAAAGATAATATGTGCTGCTTCAAGGCTCGAACAAACTCAACAATCAAGATTCCTATAATTAGAACTATAAAAACAAATACAGAAAATCCAAATAAACTATGACTCAGAATCTAATTTTCACCAAACAGCATAAAACACTAGATTAATAAACCCGACCAGAGTATAGATGTAATCAAAATAGACACAACTCCATGATCTCTAAAAAATCTTCAACACCTAATAGACATTACAAACCCATACTTCTACAACTCACTAATATACACAAAAGCCTCAAAACATATAACACAACTATAATAACAATAGAAAGTACATTCAACCACAATAGTATAGCAATAGGTGCTGGAATTATATTCTCCTCAAATAATATTAAATATACTTAAAATCTCAAAATTACAGGACAAAGCTTTGCCTATAGAGTAGAAATAATAAACACAACCATAGCTATCTGTACACTTCTCTATGAATAAACAGTACACATTCACATTGATTCTGTGATACTTATTATAGAACTTGACAAAGTAATCAAAAGACAGATTAAAAATATCACAGAAGCCAGACTCATTCACAATCTTCATGAGTGCATTCAGTCAGCACAAATTAAAGCCACTTGGATCAAAGTCAATAAAAAAGATAATAATAATGAAAATCTAGAAAAAGTAGACAAATTGGTCAAAAAAAGTCTCAAACTCATAATCAACACTGGTACTCTTCTACAAAACCATCTTAATCATCAGATTATCTCATACTACTATAACAAAGATTATAAAACTATAAACACAATCTGCAAAACATTAAAAAAAATGAAACAAGCAACACAATTACACAGATAAATTGACCTCTAAAGAAATAATATAATAACCACAAACCAGAAACTTGACATCAACTGGGAAGCCTCAATGCGATGCCTTTACCTCTCAAAGATCATGAACCCTCAAACAGACATCTTTGACCATAGCAGTAGATAATTTGCAATCAAACTCTGGAATCTTGAACTATTTATTATAAACAAACTTCATATATGCAGGCCAGATCTCTACAAATTATCCATATGTTTTGCATACACAGAAACTGAAAACAATATTCACATCTTCAAATGCCTACATCACAGTCTTAACATAAATAAAATAATAACCTTCACAATATATACAGAGATCACAGCCTATACTGAAAAAGGAAGTCCTTACCAAGAAAAAAAAGAAATAGAAGACCACTTGGAGACTAACAACATTTGGAACATCTTCATCAGAGGCAGAATTAGCAAACAAATTATCAGAACAGTTAGTCAATACACACCAATCAATAAGATGTCTGAAGCAACATAGAACATTATATGAAAATCAGATTTTTTACCTACAATATATGGACTGATAGATATCTATATATACAAATCTGGAAAAAAGCAATTGGTATCACCAAGGCAAAAAAGAAAGAAAAACATAAGCACCAAGGCCCCAAATCACAATCAATTATCCCCAACAGAAACCCATCCCGAACTATAAAGAAAATCATCATAGGCACTTTAAATATCTTTAACATCTTCACTGAATACATTGGCAGTATCTAGATATATTAGTTTCTATATAGATACAACAAATCACAAGGAGTAAGAAAATTGAGCCCCACTGCCAACAGCAGTGGATGCCCATTACCAATTGATTTTATTGTTTTGCTATAAATATAGAAAATTGTTTAAAAAATCTTTCTGTAAATAAAAGTATATATTTGTATACAGTCAATAAAATAGGTGTGTTAAGTGTTAAAAAAAAATATTATATAAATAATATCAAATAGAAAACAAAACAGCAGATGTGGTAAATGTTACCTGTGATAATAGTGATATCCAGTTTTGTATCTAATACTAATATTGTTATCCTAAATAAATTTATAATCTATTAAGCAACTTTAAACTTTTGAGAACTAACTATGAATGGGTGATCAAAGAGATAGCAAAGTACATCATTGACTACAAACTCCATCACCCCTGGAACAAAATAAATATTACAACAGATGAGTCTACAGAAACCTTTTTTTTGACAGACAAAGAAACTCCAACCTTTTTCCCAAACACCTCTGCACTACTGGAAGAATATAGCCCTGATTTTACTTACTTCATTTAGAAATATCAAGTATATTAGATAATAGTTCTATGGAAAACTTGATTGCGAATACACAAAAAAAAAAATAACAATGACACTAGAAATCTTCTATAGAATATAGATATTGAATTGTGCCTGAAAAATGTTACGCTCTTTTAACAGATATAGAAATTGAAAATTAATCAAGTAAACAAGAAAAAATTATGCTTACAATAGAAAACACTAATATTGAATACATGGGAAAAAAATAGAAAAGCTGATAATAATAATAAAGGAGACGAATACATAAAGACAAAGTTCAAGCTAAATAGTATATAGATGGCCATCAATACATTTATGGAACATCTGATAAACTCATCAGACATATATATAGTCATGAACTTATATTCAAACCAATCTAAAGAATTGTAAGTACAATTACCGGAATCTACATAGTCTGATAATATCTGTAATGATCTGAGAAAACTTCAATCTCAATCTTGGACTGATCAAGTAATGAGTAAAAGATTTAATGGAACAGATAACCCTTAAACCAATTATATCAAAATTATCAACATGTATAACAAAGTTGATAATTTAGCCAGAAAACTGAAATCAGTAGTAGAATTCTTTGTTAAAACAAAAAATAAATCATTCATTAGAAATCCTGATATTCTAAGAGTAATCTTTATCAATATAGGCTTAAGAGGCAGAGCATTTTTTCACATATTTATCCAAAATGAAACAATTAAGGAATAGTATCAGATCCAATATAAAAAGATAGAAATCCAATTCTATAGTAACTATTGCAATAAACATAACATTTGCTTCATCACTAAAGTAATTAAATGAAAAATCAGATTGATAATTAACAAAGCTTTATTTGTAATCTTTTTAAAAATCTAAGACTTATTGGAATATGGGTTCAATTATTTATAAATCTAATAGTTCCCAAAATAGATTATGATAAACTACTATAACAGTGCAAGACCCAAATTAAAAAAGCCATTGCTTCCACTACTGATATCTCCAGATCTAATCCTAGTCTCAATAAAAATCAAGCTATCATAATCTATCTTTATTCAGACTTCAAGACATTTAATATCAGTTGTCAAAAGCTTAAGAGCATATTATAACTTTGATCTATTACTCGAAACTTTCTTCAAAAAAGATCAAACCTTCTAGAAAATTCTAATGAACTCATTCCTGAAACTAAAAATCTATTTTCACTTACAAAATAAGCTCAACTTAAAAATCTAGGTTCCCTGATCAATGATCTTCACGATCACTACTATGTCTCAAGCTAACTTCCAGACACATATTTTGACTTTCCTACTTACAAAAAACATCTTCCTGTTTCTTATACTAAATTGTTTACAGAACTAGCCATTCATTTTCCAGTAGTTAATAACCCACAACTAAAAAGAAAGCCATTCAATTATTAAGGGAAGGCAATTTTACACTAAAAACCCTTCCATTGAATCACATTAAATCAAGACAACTTCTTCCTCAACCATGTCAATATAGCGAAGAATTCAATATTTTATTGTTTATGTGAAGCCAAGAAAATATAGAACCATTAATGAATTATCTAAAGGTAACATATATATTCAAACTTCTACTGAGCTCAGAATAGATATCTAATAATCTATCTCAAACCAATAAGCCATTCATACCAAAAGATCTCAAATATTTAAAACAAAATCTAGACATTACAGAAACTGACCTTCATAGAAACTTTCCCAATTTCAAAAAGACAATAAGAAAAATCAAAAAATATATCATGATCCAATCCCAAGGGAATGGATTCAACCTGTCTTGTCTGAACTTCCATTACTAAAGGAGACTATAGATAATCTAATAAACAACCATATTAATATCACACTTTCTATCACAGAGAACTTAAACTTTATTGAATAAGTAAACAAATTATATAAGCATTTCTACTTTAAAAAACTACTAATTGAATTTATCTTTGAGTAAAAACAGTTGAGAACTCTTTACACCAATCCTCTGACCACATACAAAAAAGATGTTTGCAAGAAGTTTTTATACTTCTAAGCTAATAAAGTCTTATTGCTTTCTCTAAACCAACTTGAAGGAAACTTCAAGAGTCATCCCTATACTCCCACTCTTGTTTTTACTCCTCTTCAAGCAAAAACTTGACTGCAAGTGACCAAAAAGTCAAGCAACACCCTTTTTATCAATGGCAAGAAAGTTCTGAAAGAAAGAAGAACTAATGTACAGTCATCTCACACTGTAGAGAAACAATACAGAGTGTTGTTTATAACAAGAAACTCCTCTCACACTTTCTTTATCATTTGATGCACTCTAATAGTACTCGTTTCTGAGTTTTTCTAGGGAATTTTGCCTACCTTAGCTTGAACCTGAATTTTGAGTAGCACAAAGTTTCTCACATTGTGATTGGACAGAAATTTCACATTAGTAAAAGATGTAAACAAGCTCCCATTGGTCACCTCAAGTGTCTGAATGTATTTCTTTAGTACCCATAAGAATCTGGGATCCATCATAAGTCATTAGATCAGGTGCGAGTGGATACAGGACATAAAATCTCTTATGTCATGAATAATATAGAAAGAAAAGAAGCTGGTTCAGGACACATTGGATAGACAATATCCTCTCCTCTCCTCCCTTTCTTCTCCAGCAACACATCAGAAGAAACATAAGGGTCAATATCTTTTGGGAAGGTTTTGATATACCCAGTCTCTTATTGGAACCACTTTTCTCACAAAGCCATAATAGCAAATCTATTTGGACAAGATTCGAACACATTTATATAAAAATTTTTTTTTTAAGCACTAGTGGAGTTAAGACTCCACATGAGAAATCCCCAACATCAGTGGTGCTGGGTAACTCAGGTTAATTCTTGACACATTAGCCTTCCTTTTATGGAGTAGCAATAAGCCATCTGATGGATTTAGATTCTAGAGAGTATTGTGACATAATAAAGAATTTAATATAGTGTAAATTGCCACATCTTTCTATTATTTTCAAAGTTTTGTTTTTGTAAGTAGAAAATCTACACTAGACAGTCATGTAATTATCTTATTCTAGTTGGGTGAGATGTAAATAGTTAGCCCTTTGTACTATTCATTAATCTGTAAATCCTTAAACAGTACAGGTAATTATTTATCCGGATTGTCCCTAGACTTTCTCCTTACCTAAATAAAGCTCCTATTACTGTAATGCAGGGATGAGCTAGTGTCTTAAAAAAAAAAAAAAAAATTATATTTGAGCCAAAACTGCAAGATTCAGAACCAACTCTTCTTCCAATCTTGTTTAATAAGATAAGAAAAAACAAAAATAATAGTTACTTCCTTGAAAAAACTTTTCTGGCTCCAATAATGATAATAAAATCTGTAACCTTTTATCTATAATGAATATTAATGTACAAAAATTTTATTATTTATTTATCAACTCTTTCTACTGATCCTCTGACTATATACAAAAAAAATATTCAAAAGAAGTTTTTATACTTCTAAGCTAATAAAGTTTTACTACTTTTTCTAAACCAACTTGAAGAAACTTCAAAAGTCATCAACTACTTCCTCTTCTCTTGCTTACTATTCTCTTTAAACAAAAACTTGACCTCTGGTAACTATAAAAATCAAGAAAAAACCTTCCCTACCAATAGTAAGAAAGTTTAGAAAGGAATAAAAACCAATGAGTCATTATCTTACACTGTAGAAAAATACTACAGAAATGTATAAATATAAAAGACAACTTTTTCACTCTTTTGTCATTTGTTAACTTTTTATAGTGCTTATTTTTGATTTTTTTGGAGAGAATTTTTCTATCTCAGTTTGGCCCTTAATTTGAGTAGCACAAAGTTTTTTATATCATGATTGAACAGATAGAGCTCATATTAGCAAAAGAATGGAAATAAACTTACATTGGTCATCTCACATATCTGAATACATTTTCTCAGCTCCATAAGAACCTGGGGTCTACTATAAGACATTAGGATAGGACGCAGGTGGATATAAGACACAGTCTCTTCTACGTCAATGCCTCGATCAAGAAAGAACCACTAACTATACACTATATGAATCTATCAAGTAAAACTATATCTATAACAAAACTCAAGATACATAGAAAGAGAATAATATTTAAGAAGTGTTGCATCTATCTTTTAGAAGTATTAGATTGGTAGCTGGGATATTTATTATTCATATCAACCAAAAAGCAGGATCAATATGCAATCTGAAGAAAAAAGAACTATGGCTCAACTTCTTAAAATGGTAGTACTCTGGAAAAAATAGCATAATATTTATCAAATCCAATAAAGCACAAGCCAGACATGTCAAGACTTTCTTTTCTAGTATAGAACTGTTACAATAGCAAAGAAAGACAGGTTATTGAATAATGAGTCCTTCCTCCCAGTGCTCATACAACCTAAGTAAAGAAATTCTGACAGTATTATTGAGCTACTTATTCTCTATGTCCTAGAACCCCTTTCACAACTTCTGATTTATATCACCTGGAAGAATATTGACAAAGGTTCTATACTAAATAGGATAAAGTGGAAATCAAAAGAAAAGATTGAAACTGTGAGACAAGAAACCACAACATAGTTACACTGAAAGCAGCTAAAAAAGAGGTATTATGATTTGAACTAATGAAGCACTCAAAGAGTAACTAGTTAATGGTACAAAAGTGATAGTAGTAATATGGTTTTCAAATTACTCTATATCAAGATCAACTCCCTTTTCCCATCAGTGCCTTCTTTGTTATATGCAAAATCTTCTCCCTTATTTAATCTTGTATAGTTTTGTTTATACTTATAACTTATCCCGAAAGATAGAATTATAGTAATTGAATAGATAGTTAATCATCAGATTTAAATCTGAGAAACATATTGATATAAATACGAATACTATAGATTCTTTCTTAATTTTTTTTACTTTAGTAGATCCCTTTACTAGCCCCTTTATTTCAAAAAAGGGTGGCATTGCCATAAAGTAGGTTTGTTCTTATTGAAGTTTTACTTGAGAAACAAAAGTAGTTTATCTATATCGTAT